GAACAGAGGTACGACGAGTTGAGGAAGAGGGAAAGGAGCGACAGTAGTTAGTTGAGGAAGATAGAGAAGAACTACGGATTAGTTGAGGAAAGAGAGAGAAAAGAACTACGATACAACTGAACAGTTGTTAGGGAATACTTGCTAGAGACCAGAAGACGACAGATGATAGAAGAAACTTATATCTTAGAAATAAACATACTTTCATTATCGTTGGACACCTGGAGTTTGAGTTGTTGCATTTCGTCCAAGTCTACGTTGTGCTTTTGTCTGTCTCAACGCCTAGACACCCACCATATAAATCACAGAGAGGAGCGGTCCTGTACTGACCACTACTAAGTCAACATAGTTTGTGTTAAGTCAGGACCGGAGCCCTCCTCCGTAACAACCGTTCTGTGACATATATAATGGACGAATATCTTGAGAACTTATTCGTCCAGTCACCGGACATGTAGACACTTCGTTTTTTTTTAAAAATCACCCTAAACTTTTTAACAAAATAAAAAATAACGTCAGACTGCAGAGTTAATTGTTTTGGAAAGTTAAAATTTATAGGTAAGTTGTTGTAATTACTAATTTAACAATTAAGCATTTAACAATTAAGCATTTCCTACCAAAACTTAAATTTACAAATGTTTTAAGTCTACCTATAAAATGCTTATATTACTCGTTTTAACGTTTATAACTAAGATAACTGCAGCTGAATTTGTACATACACCTTCAATGAGAAAATGTGACCTAAATTTAATCCGGCCACAACCTGATTTTAAATCTCGTAGTTAATCAGTTGAGATGCAAGCTAGAGGCATACAGGCAAAGTATGGGATCAGACCTGTTTACCCTCAAACTCTTAAAATCGTACAATATCATCACAAAATCGTTCAATACATTATCTTAATAGTAAAAAAAAAACACAGTATTTATAATGTATCCTCAAAATCGTAAGAGTAAACAGGTCTGTGGGATACACCTGGAAGCAACTAGAAAGCAAAGCACAGAACCATATTGAATGGAAAAGTCTTATGGACGGCCTATGCCCCAGACGGGGTAACAAGGCATAAGGAGAAGAAGGGTTAATCAGTTAACTAAATTACATTAGCTAAGGTTAGGTCTGCTGGCAGCTATGATGAACCAAGCGCAGTAACCAGTATGCATTATGTTGAGTTGAATTAAATGTCTTGGACATATGTCTAGAGACTTGTGCATTATTGAGTTGTGTCCACTTCAGTTTTAAAATTAAATATTGGTTAATGCAGAGAATTGGAGCCATGACATCATTTTTGTAAAGTGGGCGTTTTGGATTCACTCCCCTTATTGTTGTAACTAAGAGTTAAATTTTCCTTAATATTACGATGGCATGTTTTTTAATTTAATTTTTATTGGTTGATTAATTATAATTTTAAAATTTCATTGGTTGGGTCATTATTAACTCTTTCTTTCCAGAACAACCCTCCCATCGCCGATTTGAAATGAAATTTTTTTGGTATAAAAACCTGTTTATTTCGGCTCTTTTCTTAACTATTGGTTTTTAGTTATTTTAAATCAATTCCAGAATGATTTCCCTTTGCATAAACATCCGGTTTTTCGGTGTTTGAAAGAGGTTTTGCAGAGAACGAAGTGTTTGAAGCGGCTGTTTTGATTGTCCATTTTATTTTTGTTTACAAACATGAAATCTTGACCTGACCCATCTGGTGATCGATCTAATAAAGGTTGAAAATATTACTCTGATGATGATTCAGATAGTGATTTTATTATTTCAAATGCAGAAGCTGATTCCTTTCAATAGTATGATCATTATCCTAGTACTAGTAACTATTAGTAGAACTAGTGACAAAATAATGAAATTGGTAATTCATCAGCTGATGAAAAACCAGCCCCTACCTCAGCACATCAATATGAATTGTTTTTAGGCTTACCATAGCTAAATACAGATGAAAAGACATGACAAATGTATGGTAAATGTTCCATTTACCATTATAAATGTTAGTACATACAAGAATACAGTGCAAATATTTTATAATAGCAACAAATTGTTTCCCGTGGAAATTTTTTAAGCAAATTTTTTGTGTGATTTTGACAATGGATAATGTGCTCTGAGGTTTAATTTTATTCGTTTTTAAGTTCTACGTTATTATTTGAGATGCAACTATGGATATAGTTCAGAAAAAAAACATTTTTGTGACACTTTGGATTATATATTTCTCCTCGTGTGACTTGGAATGTGCGTTTTGTGAACAGTTGGTAAGTTTTTTATTTTTTATTTAAATTTTTCTGAAATGATAATCACATTTATATATTAAAATGTAAGCCCAAGTCTGGTTTGCTTGTAAAGGGCATACATTCTCCTTTAATTCCATACCAAACTTAGCACTTTCTGATGAAAAACAATAAAGTTATGAAGGTTTAGAGACAACATAGTAGAGCGTTACAAAAACGCAAAATAATAATTCCTTCAGAGCGCGGAAAATAATTCCGGAGAGAAAGAGTTTTTAAAAAATTTCCACCATATTTAGATGGATTTGAGCTTCACAGCAGGCCTTGTATTTTATTCATTTTCTGAATATTCTTTTCGGTTGAACCTAAATAAAGTGTGTAAAAGTGTATTTCATGAAACTGTAACTGAACTTGCTTTTCCATAACAGTAAAATATTTTTTTATATAAGCAATATATAATTCATGGAAGACAATCACAAAGATTATTTACTGGCTTTACTCATGGATCCGTAATAAGTAACACTTCTGATAATGTTTACTTTGGCTAACAATTCAAAAACCTAATGAAACCAGTTTTCTCTTCTACTTGTTTACTTTCGTTCTTAGCACAGCGGAAATCCCTTATGTATTACTATTTATAGTTCTACCGGGAGAAAGCCTCGTTTTTGGCATTAATTTTGATACTAGTTTGAACGTGGTCGTTTAGGGGCTCATTTTCTACGATATTTTGAAAAGTTGTGATTTTTTAAGCTTTAAAAAATGGCTTTCTAAGCAATGAATAAAATTTTCAAAGAACTTAGGCCTGATGGAGTAAATGAATTTCAAATTTCTGGAGCCATGCTACGACCGCGCAGCAATCTCACAGACGCAGCAGTTTTGAGTACCCCGCAGCTAATTTCCACTGTGTGTTTGTGACTGTAGGCTGTAAAATTTTGCGCACAAAAAAATTGATGCTGTAAAAATTTGCACACAACTTTATGATTTTGCACACGAACCAACAAACCTTAGAGGGAACATTGGGCACTGCCAAATTTTTTATGCATATTGGGCATGTATTGATCTACATGTATGCCAATTTTCACAGTGCTGTTTTATACGAGAGACGTCATGTTTCTACGATTCGCAGCATGTCATGCATTTAAACTGGAATGTTTTAATTTGAGCTTTAAAAACCCGGTAGAGTCCATATTCTAAATGATTAGAATTTCCTGTATGCAACACGTTTGTTGTCACTGGCAACCATTCACAGCCACTTGCATAATGGCTATATCGTATATACCTCATTAGTTTCATTCATAGGAATTTGAGTGGTGCAAAAACTATTTAAACCATTGGTCAGGGAAAACTTTAATTAATTATTCATGTGCCAAAGTTGAAAGTTTAAAATAAGTCTATCCTATTATCCTAAATAGTATTTTAGTAATAAGTGAATGTGGTGCCTTATATAAACCATGTAGTCATTGCACATGACGCGATCAGCAGAATGAGGTCGAAAGATGTGGAGGTTTCGCCCATAGTAAAAAATACCAAACGAACTCACATTTTAAAATTTTTTTTCTCAAAAAGTACTTAACCTAAACATTTGATTCTGGTTTCATTTTTTAAATTTGAAATTTGCTCTTAATTCTAAATAAGTGTATTATCAAAAAAATTAACTATGACACTATCACTAAATCACTTTTAAGTGTAAGTAGTCTTAGTAAGTCTACTAAGTCCAAGTAATGAATACCCAAAGCCCAAAGTGTGACAGAACTGCATTAAAGTCTACAAAGTCCAAGTAGGTCTAAGCCTAATGAATACCCAAAAGTGTGACAGAACTGCATTAAAATTTAATGTACGGTGCTTTTAAACAATTTTCAGTAGGTCTTTCACTTACACAAGTCAAATATTGACGGTAGCCTATTATTAATAGTATTAAATCTATTTTGTATTTGATTTTGACAAATTTGTGGTTATGAAAAAATACTTTTTAATTTTTACCAGAAAGGAACGGTTGTGCCTGCATTTTGAACACAGAATCATCCTATATAGAATAGGCATAATGGATTCACATCAATTTTGACCTGAACGACGTTATGCAAAAACATATGGAGGAAGAAATATATAATGACTTTTAAAAACTTGCATAAAATTGTCCTGTTTAGTAGTAATCCATTCATCAATGGCTTATTGACGCCATCATGTTTATTGTCAAAGCGAGGCTTTTCCGGTTATTTTAATTGGTTGCGAGCGAAACTGTGACCTGCCATCTACTGACTAGATGGACAAAGGGAAGTCATTCTTAAAAAAAAAAAAAGAAAAAGAAACCCACTTCAGTACAGAGGATTAAAAAAGTTGTCTTCTTTTGCCAGGTAAGGTTGTCCAGAAAACAAATAAATAGCCTTTTTTTTCCAAAACAGTTGTACCTTCTAGTCTCCTTTCTTACCCCAGGAATATAAATAAATAGTCTCCCATTGGAAAAAGAATAATTGATTCGGGACATATAATAAATTAATTAGAATATAATTCTACTATTAATTTTTAAACTAAATTTTCTTAATAGTCACATAGATAGTCGTTATACAATTGTATAATCCTTTTTGTTTTTTAAATTAAATGTTATATTAATTTTATCAAATAGGCCTGATTTTTTTAACTTCATTTTAATCATTTTACTTAATATATTTATCATGCAAGGAGCACTTTTAAAACGTTTACATTGTATAAACAAGAAAGTCTTGTCCTTATAACTGAAAAGATAAAAAAAAAAATTTGTTTTAAGAATACAAAATTTAATAAGCCTTGCTTTCACTGAAACCTGGCAGTTTTATTAGTTTTGGAAAGTAAACAAAATTTTCTCTAGATTATTATTACTGTCGGCGTTTGTAAGTGTTATCCCCTTTTGAAACATAAATTAACTTGTAAAAGTCTTTTACTTGGTGGCTTATTAATATTAAAGTGCAACAGAATATCAGATAATATAAAGGCTAAATTACACATTGCTTAGAGCGTAATCTCCCCCCCCCCCCAAAAAAAAATATTATTAATAGTAGTAATAAAAAAAATAGTAGTAGTAGTATTATTTCAGTGTTACTAGTATTACTATTAACTATTAGTTAGTATTACTTTTTTTTAGTATTTGTAAAGTAAAAGGTGTGTATATTATTTCTGGTCGAATTTCGTATTTTCGCTTGTAAAATTATGGGAATTTTTTTATAAAAGTATATTTTAGAGTAAAATACCATCATTGGAATAACAACAAACAAAATTTTAACAAATTTTACTAGATAAAAATAGTACATTTTTATGGATCTTTTGTCTTTTACGGAGCCATTGTGGTAAAGCAAGGATAAATCTTCTGTCTTTAAAGATATGTTAAAAATGTTGCCCTATTGCCTATTGGATTTATCTTGTTGTATTTATTTTATAACTTAAATATCAAATATAACTGGAGTTATAGGGAATTCTCATACTTGACATGCGTAGGCCATTTTACAAGCCACATTGCAATTGTTACATTTCATTTTGTTCTTCAAAGGGGAGCGCCTTGAGAGAAATTCCAAAGTTGTATTAACGTTATTTGTTGCCTCACAAAGTGCGCGTATAAACGAAACGCTGCATCATTTAAAATTTCCGTTGGATCAACAATTTGAATTATTGTTTCTTGGTCTTCCTGCCATTTTGAACAAAGTTATCCCACTACCAGCAATACCGCAAAACGAGTCCATCTTATTATACATAATCACCAGCCCTCACCCTCATTTTCATTTTACTCAGCGCAAATCAGTCAACATAAGCGCATTCGCATAGAAAAAAAGGGGAGGGGTGCTCAAATTAGAGCTGACCAATTACAGACAACCTATTTGCAGCCATCAGTATGAGATGAATATCAATAAATGACCCCAGCTATCATGCCGATTTAGTTTAGTATACTAACTTATAGGTGATTAAAAATCTGGCCAGAGGGTGAAAAAAAAACAAAAAACAAATGGGGCTATGTTACTTTGGTTGGGTGATGCTTAAAGACGCTTTAGAAATCAAATAAAAAGGAAAAAAGCGCTATATAATTCAGTATTTGTTAACTATAACTTGGTAAAAAGGGGAGAGACTGCAATCAGGTTAGCACAATATAAAATGAGTAAAAGTAGGGTTAAACCTGAAAAAAGGAACGCAACAAAACAACGATCGTGTCGGCAGAAAGCCTTCGTCAGCGAACAAAACAAAAAAAAAAACGGAATAAAAATAAAAAATAGCACTTAGCTTAGATGTAGTATCTGTGGGCAGCACGAAGGCTTTCTGCCGGCACGATCATTGTTTTATTGCGTTCCTTTTTTTTTTCAGGTTTAACCCTATTTTGTTTTACTCATTTTATATTTAACTATAACTGCCTGTATTTAATTAATAAAGAATACACATAAGTTTACACGAGAAAATACGAAATGCGATATAATATATGCACCTGAACTGCACTTTTACCGTAGTATTAATAGTCTATAGACTCTATAGTAGTGAAATTTAATATAGATTAGAAAATTTGAGTCAAAAGGGAGAATGAGAATGTCTCTACATCACACTAGACCAGTCTAGTCACTATTTTATATTAGACTGCACCATAAGTAAAAGTATACAAAGTAGTACGGTATAAAATTGGGATTGACTGAAATGTCCATTGATTAAGAATGAATAATATGAAAAAGTTGACTTATTATCACTAACTGAATAGATTTAATATTAATAGAGTAAGTCAGATGAGGCTTTTCAAAATTTGTGCTATTTTTTAAAGACAATTGTCTAATTGTAACGATTGAATTTGACTATATCCAGTTGTTAGTACTTATTAGAAGTCTATTGAATCTAATTAATAATTATTAAGTAGACCCAATTACTTAACTGTGATTAACATTATTTTAATTATACTGTATATATAATAGATTCTTTTACCAATGCTGTAAAAATTCTAATCTCAAAAATTTGGAACATTATTCCAGCTTGCCACTAGGTTTAATATAATAACCTTGCCTCATTTAACATTAAAATTAGGCCTAATGACATGAGATATCCAATATAACAGATTTTGAATTTGTTAGCTACAAATATTTGTAGACAATCTAATTAATGCAACATTAACATTTTCTTGTAATTGGCTATTGACAGCCATTGACAGCATTGTTTTTTTTTTTTTAAACTCAGATATGCTTAAACAGATTGTAACAAATTTAGGAAATAGTTGAGTCCAACAGACGGATATAGTTGGCAAATTGTTTGCTTGTTCTTATGCCATTGCATTGAACCCACTTGTAACTAACACAAATTATTTGGTGAAACAATGCACACATTTGAATTTTGCCCTTAGAACATGGGACATGGTCTTTTTTGTTTTTGTTTGTTGTTTTAAAATTAGAATACTGGTATCATTTTAATTTTATAACTCAGGGAATTATGCTAAACATTAATAGCTGTTAAAAATGTGGCTGTAGAACTAATTAACAATTATGATAACATCATATAATTAAGCCTACATTTTTAACTGTCTAGTAATTAGTTGTATCAATGATAACAGTAACTCATTAAAATTTTGTCTAACACTACTGTTATTTATGTTGACTAAAATGAAAAATAACATTAAAAGATTTATTATTTTCTTTTCGTACAATTTAGAATTGCTATAATGGCTGATGAAGAAGCAAGTCGAACAGATTCACATCACAGCAGTTCTCCTGCAACTCCCAGCATTAGTAATCCAGGCACTCCACGATCTGAGGTTTCTCAGGACATACGTGCCACCCCACCATTAGCCAGAGCAACTCCTCCATTAGCTAGAGCCACACCACCTCTTGCAAGGGCAACACCTCCTTTAACACAAGGCCAACCTCAGCACCCTCACGGTCAACAAGTTCCTCCAGCAAGAACTGTTACTCAGGCTCCCCCAGCCCCATCTCCGCTTGCACAAATGCATCATCATCAAAGTAAATACGCTTCACTCCTTGCCGTTATAGAAGATATGGGTCGAGACATTAGGCCAACTTATGCTGGCAACAGAAGCTCAACAGAGAGATTGAAACGCAGTATAGTACATGCCAGGATTCTTGTACGAGAGTGTTTGATGGAATGTGAACGAAGTGCTCGAACATAGTGTTTATAAGATAACATTACAGGGTATTGAAAACAAGTTTCAATTGAAGTTTAAGCTCATTCAGTTACAAAAATTCATTAAAAAAATTATTCATACAACAGACATATTTTTGTTTGCATTTTGCATTGTTTTTAATATATAATTAATACTCAAGCTGTCACTGATGCACTGTCATAATTATTTTTTCTTTATGGTGAGCAGTGCTATCACACATGAAAGAAATTCTCATCAGAAAGCAACATTTGATTATATATATAGTATACATATATAAATATGTAAAAGCACCACTTTGTATTAAGTAAAATATAATGAAGAAGCAGAAACTGTAAATGTGGTTTTAATTGTTTGTCTTTATTATGTTCTTCCATTGCCATAGATGTAATGAATGGTCATAAAATGAGCAAGTAGATATAAGCACATATTTATCATCATCATGTCTGCACTTTCCTGTTTTATTTAGTCTGCACCAGTCAGCACCATAAGCCAAATTGTGATCTTTGTAACTGGCAACTACAGGTAAGGTGTTGTTGCCTGAAAAAGGGTGTAAAAATCTAATTTGATGAAAAATCTGTGTGTTAGCAGATGAAACAACTAATTTAAGTACAGTACTTTTATTAAAACATTTGTTATGTGTATTAGTTACCGGTACATAATAAAAAAAGAAACCGTATCAACAATAAAAAATTAACAAATCTAATTCACTGCAGTAGCAAAAAAAATGTAACAAACCTAATTCACTGCAATCAATTATGTGGGCTCCATTGTACATGGTTGCTGTAAGTATGTTTCTGCCATTCTGGGGGTCCCACTTGATGCGCCATATGCCCCCACCTAGAAAAACACTATTCAGTGTTTGCTTGAAGTTTCTATTATCCCATATTATAAGCTCTTCGTCATAGCTGAAAAATAAAACAAGAGAGAATGTTTGTCAAATGTGGCTCTACTTTTAGAATGTCACATGTTTTAGAGCGATCCTCATCTTTAAAGCACAATAGTTATCTGATCTGTTCGTGATACTGATGCAATTTGCAGTTGTGCGAATCCAACAAGATGAACAAAATTTGTGTTTTAATTGTTGCCTACCTTCCTGTTGCAAGCAAGTGAACAATGATGTGTTTGAATTCATGCCTACCTTCCTGTTGCAAGCAAGTGAACAATGATGTGTTTGAATTGATGCCTACCTTCCTGTTGCAAGCAAGTGAACAATGGTGTGTTTGAATTCATGCCTACCTTTCTGTTGCAAGCAAGTGAACAATGGTGTGTTTGAATTCATGCCTACCTTCCTGTTGCAAGCAAGTGAACAATGGTGTGTTTGAATTCATGCCTACCTTCCTGTTGCAAGCAAGTGAACAATGGTGTGTTTGCATTGATGCCTACCTTCCTGTTGCAAGCAAGTGAACAATGGTGTGTTTGAATTCATGCCTACCTTCCTGTTGCAAGCAAGTGAACAATGGTGTGTTTGAATTCATGCCTACCTTTCTGTTGCAAGCAAGTGAACAATGGTGTGTTTGAATTCATGCCTACCTTCCTGTTGCAAGCAAGTGAACAATGATGTGTTTGCATTGATGCCTACCTTCCTGTTGCAAGCAAGTGCTGATTGAAAGGATGACTCTGGATGCTACAAACTCCCATTTTATGCCTGTTAAAAAGCATATCAATCATTTTCAAAGAAGGATTTTTACTGACATTTTTATTGACATATAAACAGACATATCTTGTCTAGAATTTGTCTGTGTGTCAATTATGAAATTTTATTTTATTTATTTAGTAACCTATCTTACTGTCAATAATGACTCTAGAGTAAATAAAAATATTTTACCTTTTGCTGCAAATAGTTGGTCTTGATAAATCCCTTAGATCCCATGTTTTTAATAAGGAGTCATCTCCACCTAAAAGCAACAAGAATTTCTTAACTATTTAAGAGATAGAATTTCTTAACTATTTAAGAGATAGAATTTCTTAACTATTTAAGAGATAGAATTTCTTAACTATTTAAGAGATAGAATTTCTTAACTATTTAAGAGATAGAATTTCTTAACTATTTAAGAGATAGAATTTCTTAACTATTTAAGAGATAGAAAGTCTTTAAAAAAGTAATACCTAAGCAGATACTTTATAAACAATTATTTCTCCATCCTAAAGGCATTATGATAAAGATCTGAAAATTAATCCAATATTATTTTTACCCGTGAATACAACATTTGAGTCATGCTTGTTAAAAGCTGTAATCCAAGCTTCATAATCATGGGCTTTCCATGTCGACAGCATGCTGAGGTTGTTGTTGACATCTAAAACTGTAATACATCCTGTAGAATCCGATGCTACTAGCAGCGGACTTACACCAGACACAAAACAAAATTAATTGCCCTTGATGAAAACTTTCTCTTTAAATTTTTAATGCATTGAATCAAAGTCAACTATAATAATGATAATGTAAGCAAAAGAAAAAATGGTAAGGTAGAATTAATTCCTACAGCTATGTATGCAATCACTGAACCATTCAGCTTCTTTTGAATATAATAATTGCAGATAAAAATTGATCGGCATATCCCAGATCCATATTGTAAACAGACTATTAGTTTAAAACCCACCTCCTTTAACCAACATGTTTGATTATTAATTTCTGTGAAACCACCCTGTTTAGGTAGTGAAACAACCATGAGGAAACATCCTTTGACCATACCCTTGGGAATAGCACAGGGTTTGAGGGATTTGTACAGTCTGCAGCCCTAAACTAAGTTTAAACAGAATCTGCACATCTCACCAATTATTACCTATCAGTATCATTATCACCTGTCCAGTCTAATGACAAACCAAGTGAACAATCTGAGAGGCTTGCTTTAGAGATTGCATCTGGTGTATAATCTTCCTTGGTTAATCCGAAAATCTGTGAAATAGAAGAAAAATTCAATAAATAAATTTAATAGCAAATGCTGCCACTTTCTCAAATTATTTAGACTTGTGGATTCTTGTCAAGAACAAATTTAAGGTTATATCTTTTATATATACTGGATTCATTGTTTCTTACTATAAGAGCAAAAGTGGAAATAGCCAGCAACCCAAAAAGGAGGGGAACCTGTAGAGAGTTTAGGAAATTTGTGGCTTCCAAAAATATTCATAGCTTTCTTAAAAACACTACTTTAAAAAAAATTCCACTGCATTAGTGTCACTCTCTACTGAAAGAATTGAGACATTATTACATGTGGAACATTGACAGACAACCACGTTGAGAAGGAGGGTTTGTGAAGACAAAAAAGTCTTAAAAATGAGACAAAGGTTTTAAACAAGATTATTTTACTGGGTATGTATGTTTTGAACAAAACAATCTCAATTTTTGTTGAAATCGGACCGTAGGCATTAACAAAAAAATAAGAAGGGATAATTTTTAAAATTCTTGTTACCAATAATAAGCTACGGTATGCCTGAGTCAAGTTACGGCAAATGGAACAAAAACACATTTCCAATAATTACTGTAGCTCAAAACGGTGATGAGAATTGCATGAAAAATAAATGATGAAAGGATAGGGCTACAAAAAATAGCCACTGCACAAATAAGTAATGGGGAAATGGTTGAAATTGGTTTAATTCTGCCTGAACTAATGGAAAACTTGCTCGTTTGTAGTTTTGCTTTAGTTAGGGAGATATTAAATGTATTCAGTTAACATCCATTTAAAATATAGATAATACTGAATCTGTTTCTGGAGTCCTCGCATGCATTTCAAAAACTATGTTTACACCTTTGTATTAATCATTGGCCTTTGCTTAGAGATATTCATCAGTTCTAAACTTCTACATATCTTTAATTTACATTTCAAACCTGAACAGATCCTTCAGCATCCACAATCCCAAATAATGCTTTGTCGTCAACATAAGCAGGTGACCATTTGATGTCAAGCACTCCACACATTTTGATTTTGTTCCATTCTTTAAGGTGAAGATCAGAGTTGGAGGAATTGTTAAAGACTAATCCATAAACTGTCACCCCTCCCAATCTGATCTGACTTGCAGCAGTATTAGAATCCTCTAGAGTTGCATCATCTTTACATTTTGTGTCTTCAGAAACTTGATCAGCTTCCAGTTCTAGCAATGCTGGCTGAGGAGCATGAAAAAGATGAATATTGATCAGTTATGCATATATAAAATCATAACCAATACCTTAATTTAACTTTTAGGACAATATTTATTCTTGTAATGGTATCATCATATACAAATATTTATTTAAATTGAAACCATGGACTATGTTGGTACCAGTATGCCATAGATGAGATTGTTGGAAAAATATTTTTAGAATTTTTATATTTTTAAACCATAACATGAACAGCAAATCATTCAACAGGTTTATAATTTCAAAAGAAACACATGCTGTAATCAAAACAAAGCTATGCCCTAAGGCTACCATATCAGCCATTCCAAATTAGCCATTTATTTTTACACTGTTATTTCTTCTCTACCTGAGAGCAGAAATTATATGCATAGAAAGAACTTCAAACTGACGTTAACAGACAAGAAATAAACCATTTAGTCGCCAAGGATGACAAGTGCCCTTAGACTGTTTGCGAGGCAGCTGCGGTTAGTAATGAGAGTTTAAATTTTCTTACATAAGTGACATTCCAATTTGTATGAATTGAATAGTTCAATCTGATGCAAGCCTCAATATGGCATTTTTTTTGTTTTGAATGATGTACACTACTGAAAATATGATGCAATTTATAAATAGCACTGTATATTGAATAGATCCATGACTTGACATGCTCATCAGTGCTTGACAAAATGTAGCCATCTTCACTTTGTTTTGAGTATTTTTTTGAAATACTGATATTCACAGTGTAAAAAAATCTGACACATATGGATGGACTGAAATTTAGATGTTATTCATATTCTGAATTTCATATTAGCCTTATTTATTATATACCGGTACATGCCCTTTTTTAAAATTCTTTAATTATAATTTAATTTTAAAATAAATTACTTTGAACAACTAATCTCGGTAATCTGAATCCAAAATAAGTTTGTTTTGCACATACTGTAGATTCTTTTAGTTTGTATGTGCCACAGAGAAGAATGTGGTGCAAGCCATCATGTGGACAAAATTCTACAGAATCAGCATTCAAAAGAGTGTCAACTTTTTTAATGGTTGTATCTTCAGCAATGTCCATAATGATTATTGAATATATTTCAAGAAGACCTGTAAGTAAAATAACACAAATTCAAAACCAGAACAGTGATTTTAAAACAGAGGTTTTCAACTTTGTGTCAGTGTGTCCTGAAAGATTCAAAGTTGTGTACACATTTTTTAACATTTATTTATAAAAATAATAATTTAAGGGTAAAATTCATGATGCACATTTTTAACATTATGCAGAACATGAATTTTACTTACATTTACATATAATAATAAAAATTATTAATAATAATATAATCCATCTCTTCCATGAGGATAATAGTAATAATAATTATGTAGGATGCTGCTCCCCAAACCAGTCATATTTTAGTTGGAACAGAATTACAGTAAAGTTTGAAAACGCTTTAAATTAAAATAATTTATTTTCGTACAAGTTATAATTAAAAAAATAACAGGTTAGTCAGTTTTAAAAATATGTATTTTGGCCCCTGTATCATCATCAGCACCCTCTTCTAGTAACCATTTGGACATGTGCCTGATGCTATTGTGAGAAATGTGAAGGTCTACATCAAAGTACATCAGTTGGTCTTTCCCTACACTACATGTGTCAAACTCAAGGCCCGCGGGCCACATCCTGCCCGCCGTACAATTATATCAGGCCCGCGAGGTCTTGACTGGCGTACACTTATATCCAAGGCAACGCTATGGAGTTTCCTTATGCACACTTTGCTAAAAAATGTAGCTTACTTTGCGCTGAGTTCGCACGGCGCTTTAGTGATTTTGAAGCACAGAAATGTAATTTTGAGCTGTTTTAAAACCCATTTATCGTAAACGTAGAAACTGCGCCGGTAAATTTGCAGATGGAGCTAATAGAGCTACAGTGTAATGGGACTCTAAAGGCAAAGTAAGACACAGCTGTGCCTGAACAGTTCACTCGTTTCATTCCTTCGTCTACATGCGGCTCAAACCTTGAGCATGTTGGGTAGCACATATGTGTATGAGCAGCTGTTTTCTGTGATGAAGATTAACAAAAAATCACACAGGAGTCAACTCATTGATGAACACTTGCAGTCCATCATGAGAATCTCCATGACACAGAACGTCACTCCCAAAATAAACGAACTTACTTGTTTTTTTAGCAAAGAAAATGTGCCAAACATCCAGCTCTGATAAATTGGCATAAGTACGAAACAGGGAATGCCAATGATTTTTAATTATTAAAACTTTTTTTCTGTTTTCATTTATTTACATTTTTTAAAAAAAAATATTAATTTTCAGTTTATTGAATGTTTACACGGTTCGGCCTGCAACCTTACATGTGATTTGAGTTTTGGCCCGCCGAGCGATTGAGTTTGACACCCCTGCCCTACACCATAGGACAGTGATGGTGAGCCGTTTAGAGCAAAATGCAACTTCCCAAAAACCACTTATTAATTGCAAAGTGCCAACTGAGGTTCTGGTTTATGAAAAAAGAACTCACTTATACCAGTTCTTAAACATCTTTTGTCTTAATAGAATAGAAAAAAAAACAAATTATAGAGGGGTCTAGAGTTTTCAATGTAACAGCTTCTTCTTCTTTTTTTTTTTTTTTATAAAAAGGTAAAGGTTTGCATTTTGCATGTTTTTGCACAATTAATAAATTTATTTTATCTTTGCTGTTGTTTTCATGCTGATAATTTTTCAAACCTTGCTCATACTTTTAGTTCTTAAACATCTTTTGTCTTAATAGAATAGAAAAAAAAACAAATTATAGAGGGGTCTAGAGTTTTCAATGTAACAGCTTCTTCTTCTTTTTTTTTTTTTTATAAAAAGGTAAAGGTTTGCATTTTGCATGTCTTTGCACAATTAATCAATTTATGTGATCTTTGCTGTTGTATGCATGCTGATAATTTGTCAAACCTTGCTCATACTTTGTTTGAGAGCAACACATGCATCACTTGATCATCTGTCATTCTCTTTCTTGTTTCAGTTTCGATAAAATTCAAAGCTCAAACAGTTGTTTACATGCATAAGATGATCTAAACAAAGAAAGAAAAGCCCCTATGTGCCCTTTTAGCCATTGTTCAGCTACTGGGGCGACTTGACTTGTAAAAAAAAAAACCTTAAAGTTGGATTTAGACATGCAGTGGAGAAAGTTTATAAGTAGGTGGGGGACCAAACGCTGAAATGCAATATAAGATTTTCCTTATGTTCACCACCACTGCTTTAACCCATGTTAGTTACATGTCCTTAATACTTAATAAGGCAAAAATACTGAAGTCTGTTGTGCTGGGTCGAGAAGAAAGAGGTGATTTGGTACTGTCACATTTATATGTTTTCAGTGGGATTACATTCATTAATATTTTATTAGATTGTATGTGTTTGAATTTATTGTAATTCGTAACATAAATTATATATATCAAATTACAATACATTAAATATTAGAATCCATTCCTTGCCTTATTTGTAATTTCTTGAGTTATTTCCCATGCCTACTTAAGCTTACTATTAATTACTACTGACAAAGCAGTGAGCAATAATCAAATATTTAATATACGTAGTTAACGTAGGTCTATGCCTAATGATTAAAAAATAAACTATATTTAGTATAATACATTTTAAATAGTAATGATGTAAACTGATTTATTATTCTGCACGTATAAATTGCGATCTCAATGCATAGAAAAAGATTAGAACACACTGACTGACGACTCAGTCAACTCAGTGAATACTACTACAACTTCTTCTTTTCGTTAACTCGGCTACACGATAGGAAATTCCCTGTCAGCCTACTTGTTCCCTTTCGCAAAATATCTCTACTATTTATACGGTAACTTCTAGAACATGGCTGCATCTTCGCGTGGCGTTGAACGTGTCCTTGCGAAATGCGAGGCATGTATCAAAGCAGGAAACTATTATGAAGCTCATCAGATGTTTAGAACAGTGTCATTTAGGTATTGGATATTGATTTTAACTGACATTTGAGACCTATATAGAAATTCTCAATGAGACAATGGGCACGTATTTGGGAAAATTTGCTCGTTCCGGTGTTAGACAAATAGCCTTTTATCGATAACTTATGTTTTCCATAGAAACAAGCTAAAAAATGTAATTTAAAATAAGTTTTTATAGGAAAACTTTATTAGCAACGAAATGCACCACTACGATAGACTTTCATCTTTGACCTCTTTCCTTAAATCATTTCTTTAGGCCCTATATATATATGCCTAAATAATACAGAGCTAATTTCTAGCTTTGATTTTGTCCTTTGATTTTGATGGGCTACCAGTCAGACTACACCTCAGTTTCTGTGACAGGGGGCTCAGTGGGGGCCAGTTGATTGTAACTGTCAGTGTCTGAGTGTGAGAACACACAATACAGTATACTCAAGTTGAGTTAAGGTGACCATCCATACTATTTTATGTACAGTATGATTTTCGGACATTTGTCCTAGTCCTGGTCCTGGTTAGTGGTGAGTTGTAACCAGTTCATAATTAAAATTAAAGACTACAAATTACAAAATTAAAAAAAAATTATTAATTTAATATTTTGGGTAGCCTACATCTGATTCTGATATTCCTGCATAAATAATAAAAACAACTAGGATAGGCCTAAATAAATATATATATTATAATAATATATATATTGATATTATAAAATTCATAAAAATTACTATAATTAGCATCACAATAACAATGGTATTTTTTTTTGAAAAGAACACCACATGACAGAAAAGTTATCAGTGCAAACAAACACAAAATTGTTTGTTTTTGGACACCCATGCCAATGGTGCCAAAACTATTTTAAATATCCTGGTTTTAATTTTGAAAAAAAAATGGTATAAATGATTTTTTTTCAGATTTTTAAAATTAACTTCTGCATCCAAGTCCAATGCATCAAAAAAATTTTTAGTTCATGACATACATGCTGCCAAGCTGTGGGATTAAAAACTGTACAAAACTCCCCCACAAAAACCTATAAAAAAGGTCCCCTAAACAAATTGTACAACAGCAGGAAAAACTGTACCAAAAAAAGAAAAATTAATTTATAATTTTTACATTCACTTATCAATGCTTCGAAATAAATGCATGCAAACTTTGTCGTCTTGATAATTTCTGGATTAGTTTAAAAACCCCAAAAATAAGAATCAAATATAGATGTGATTGCAGTAAAATATGCAAATAAGATCTTCGTCCTTGTAAGTATTTCTACATAATGGGGGTGAGAAAAAAAATAATTTAAACCCAATATTAATATTAGGGGTAGAATTTCCCTTCATACTTCATTGCCTCAAAGTTTCGATCTTGTAACTATGCTTTATGTCATAAGTGCCCAAGCATGCACTTAATGTCTTTTTCTCTAAATGCCTGTTATCTTCCGATTGATGAGAGGCTTTGATAATGCCAGGATACTCAGTCAGACAATCACTTAGAAACTTACCCCAGTGCGTGTCTAATTCCAACTTTCTTGAAAAAAATAAATTAGTTTAACCCACTTATTTGGAAGTTTCTGGCTGGAGTAAATAATAAATAAAAAAAGAAAACAACATATGATTCTTACTAATTCTTCTCTCTAAATAAAATATAGGTCTACTAAAACAACAAATAAAATAGCACCCGCTTTAGTTTTAGAAAGTTATAATTATAACACATTGTCATGTATGGTTCACAAGGTCTATAAATGACTCTTATGAGATGCTAACATATGAAAGAGTAGGCTTATTTCATTTTTAAAAAAATTTAATTAAAAAATTATAGCTGATTTTCCATTATTTCTGACTTAATAACTCACTATTAAATAGTTACTGTAGGCTTGTTAAAAGCAGAGGATACCATTAATACATCTTTCTTGTTAGCCTTATATTTCACCTTTTGCAATTCAGTAATGTTTGCAAGTATATAGTTTTTTTTAATGAAAATGCTATCAAATTTTCTTTCATATCTTCCGTGTTATTTTAACTCAGTGTAGATTTAATTATTTTTTCCCCTAGATACAATAGCCAACAAAAATTTGCAGAGGCTGCTGACTTACTGTATAGAGGTGCCTTAATTTTGCTTCAGCACAACCAGGTACTCAAATAGTATTTGCTAAAGTTCTTCTTCGTAACAGTGTTTACAGTCCTAATTGAAATTTTTAAATATTTTTCTCACTTAGAAAAAGCATTGGGAAAATAAGCCTTTATCTTTACAAACAAAAATTAACCAGGAGTTTCTTGGATCAAGTAATATCATTGTGATGTTGAAAATATCTTTAAATATCAAATATACCCAAGTTAATACTCTGCAAATCTTGATTTTTAAACTTGTCATTTAACAAAAATAATGGAAAAAAAACATAACTTATCATATTCTGTACATGAATTACACAATGTTTCTTAGTTTTTTAAATACAATCATCTTCTCAAAATTATAAATCACTGATGTTAAAATTGTACCTCATAAGATATGTGGTGGAATTATTTTTTGTTCAACATACAAAAAGAAAGATATATGATCCAATTAAAAAAACAATTTTGTGAGGTGTTGTGAAAGGGTGACACGTGCTACTGTATTATCTTTGCATGCATATCATAAAATTGTCACATCTTACTTGACATATTTTACCATCCTAATTTTATTTTAGCACAGCAGTGGAGCAGATTTAAGTCTCCTTCTCCTGGAATCATTGAACAAAGCCAAGTCCCCTGTAACAGAAGATGCAATTAGTGAGTCCTACTGCTTGATATCAATATTATATTCATCTAGAAAGTTACTTTTTCTGCACTGTGGACACACGATTTTTGTATTCATAGGTTTATAGTTTGTAAAAAAACAAGTAATTAATACACATGAGAATTTAAGAGTACAATATATGGTTGTATTTCCCAACATACAGGCTACAGAGGAGAATTGAAATAATATTTTGCAAAACATACTTCTAAAAAATTTTTAAAATTCGTTTCACCGATAATATTTGTCCTAAAAATATTAGCTGTATTTTTTCTGTTGTTTTTATGAAGAATGTTCTTATATCACTATTTTAGTGATTAAGAAAATTATGAAAAGAAGATGTCCCATCTCTTATCAATAAATAAAAGATGATTGTAATAAATGCAAATGTCTAAAGAAGCTTTTTTTTAATTTGATGTAAAATGTTTGATTAGCGGTTGCAAGTAAAGATTATATTTCTAAATTTTTAATGGACAGATGTGAAAGAAAGTTTCTGTAAATGGTAAAGTTTATGGAATAAGGCAAACAGTTTTGAATTCTAAAAAATAATAATAAAAAGTATGAGGCCTTTAACTTTAACACTCCAGTTTTTTTAGAATACCTGAAATTTATTTATAAAGAATATTTCAGGGACAAAAAAATTAACTCATTATTTATTGGTAAAAATAGTGTGTAATGGGAGGAAAAAACTGGGTGCATTTCTTATATTTTTATTTTAAACGTTTGTTTTTTTAAAAAACATTTTGCTGTATGTCATGGAAAATCAGTAACTCAAGTTAGCTTGGTGTAAAAAGCAAATTTTCTCCATTTCAAAATGATTAAGGCCCCCAATGTGCTCTACCTAAATGTAGCATGATTTGGGTGTGTGATCAGATAGGGATCAAGTACCACAGATTTGGATTCTGGCAATTTTTTTTCACATCTTCATATGATGGCTGAACAAAACTTATTTTTTCCAACATCACATGCTATTTTATTTTTAAATTATATATTTTCCTATGATTATTTCATACATTAAAAAAAAAACTTGTCAAATTTATAATTGAATAGCACAAAAAGAAGTGGATCAGACGTGGAGCTCAGATAAGGTTGACAAATTAATTTTTTTTTGACTGTAAAACGTCTGAATGATAAGTCGTATTAGTATTTATTGCTAAAATTAATGTGAAATAATTTTTTTACAGGTCAGGTAACCAAATTATTTGAAGTTATGGACCCAGAATGTCCAGAGAGATATCCGTATTTGACAAAGGCTATTAATTGGTCCAGCAAAGTCAACAAAGAACACAAGAGAGGTCACCCTGATTTGCACCAGCGTTTTGGCTTTATATTTTGGCATGGTAAACTCTCCAATCTATTAAACACAGATGATATAGGAAATCACTCTAATATCTTAATAAATTATTCATTAGTATATTTTTTTTAAAAATAGCATAGTAATTTTACCAGGGTGTTGCACTGAAATTTTTTTTGGATTGATGCAATATTCCAAAAGGTATATAAGAAATCATTTCAAGATTTGTTCCGGTGGAGAATCATTTTATGTTTGAAAGATTCCTCTTTCGGTTACAACACAAGATCATTTTTTTTGGTCCTGGTTTTTATTGCTTGAGAATGATGTGTTTTCTCTTTTTTTCCTGTTTTAGGTTTATTTATTAATTTATTGAACTGTAGGTTACAGATAGCTAGTTAATATTTTGTAATTTGTAGAAACCTTAAAAGAAAATCCTTAATTTTGTTATCAGAGAGAAATTATGCGCAGGCAAGATATCACTATATTCACTCAAGAGATGGAGAGGCCTGTGCAGAGATGCTTTTGGAATTCCATACAGCACATGGTTACCCATCTGAGGTGGATATGTTCATTACCCAGGCTGTTTTACAGTGAGGTTTTAATGACTCTAAATGCTTCATTAACTTAACTTCCATTATCATTACAGCGAAATTGTAATGGTTAATTATAATAAACAACATATTCGTCAGCTGTAAGCCTTTTACAAACCAGTTCACAATGACGGATTGTAGTTATATTAAGCTAAAAGATTAGAAGTTTCTTTTCCCTTTTAAAACATCATGAAAAAAAATCTAACCTGTTCAAAGAGTCAAATGATTTGATAGATTTTAAATAATTTGTAAGCTGATTTTCATAACTTTACATAAGTTAGTTATTCCCTTTTTTTGCAGGTACTTGTGCCTTCAAAATAAAGCAACAGCCAATGTGTGCTTTGATGTGTACACACAGAAACACCCTGGAATAAAACAGACACCACCCTTTAGTTTGCCATTGCTTAATTTTATATGGATGTTGCTCATTGCCTTAGAAGGGTTAGTATGTTTTTTTACTTTTTTCCGAGCTTTTAAATAAAACGCAGCCCCTTAACTCATTAACTACCGTATGTTTAAAAAAGTCCATTTACAGCCAAGTGCCATGATACGAGCTTTGCAAAATAGTTTGTTTTTTGTTCTTTTTAAGGTCAATCCTTGTTTTTAATGGACATATAAGTTATTGAAAAGCTTATTCATCCGGGGAAAAGAATTAAAAGTTCTGGAACCATGTTGCATCATTAATTTATTTAATGCAAATGCTATGTTTCAATTCAGCTTTTATTTCTTTTTCCATTGATGTCAAAGCTGTCATGCTATTAGTTTTTAATTTATCATTAACTATCAGAATTATTTTCTTTTCCAAAGCATCAGAATTTCTTTGACTCTAAATGCAGTTAAATTGAGCAAGAGTTATATTAATGTCTGCCATATACTTTTAGTTTTAGTCTAAATGCAGTCAAACTGAGCAAGAGTTATATTAATGTCTGCCATATACTTTTAGTTTTAGTCTAAATGCAGTTAAACTGAGCAAGAGTTATATTAATGTCTGCCATATACTTTTAGTTTTAGTCTAAATGCAGTCAAACTGAGCAAGAGTTATATTAATGTCTGCCATATACTTTTAGTTTTAGTCTAAATGCAGTTAAACTGAGCAAGAGTTATATTAATGTCTGCCATATACTTTTAGTTTTAGTCTAAATGCAGTCAAACTGAGCAAGAGTTATATTAATGTCTGCCATTAAGTTGGATGACTTGCAACAAACTGAAGCTAAATGATGATAAAACGGAAATCCTTCTCATCCACTCTCAAAACAAACCTCTCCCTCCATCCGCTCCTTCTTCAATATCTATCGGCAACTCTGACATCACACTCTCTTCCTCTACCAGAAAGCTTGGAGTCACGCTTACAGACACCCTCTCCATGGACAAACATGTCACGAACATCTGCAGATCAGCATACAACAAAATTAGAAAAATCAGCACCATTAGACACCACCTCTCATTTGATGCCACAAAAACTCTTGTCTCTTCACTCATTCTTTCAAAATTTGACTATTGTAACACTCTTCTTGCAGGCATTCCTCAACACCACATAGACAAACTTCAGAAGGCACAGAACTCAGCATGCAGACTAATTTTTAAATCAAAGAAACACGACCACATTCAACCACACATGCAGTAACTCCACTGGCTTCCAATATCCTCTCGCATCAAGTATAAGTCTGCCAATCTATGCTTCAACTCTTTCACTTTCACTAACCCTCACTTTCCTGTCTATCTCTCTGAACTGTTGCTTCTTTACATCCCCACAAGACAACTACGCTCTTCAACTGACAATAGAACCCTCTCAATCCCAAAAACCAAAACTAAGACCATCGGCGAACGCTCCTTCTACTTCCATGCGCCCACGTTCTGGAACCAACTCCCCTTCCACATCTGTCATTGTGAAACCTCGTCCACTTTCAAAAAGTCCCCTAAAACCCATCTGTTTAGGTCCGCCTATGACCTGTGATGCACCCTCCTTGCCCTACCTCATTTTCTGTCTCAGGTTGATCCTGTATTTAAGTACCGGTATATGCCAAAACGTGCCAAGTGTACTTGTTTTTATAGCCATTTTAATGTTTTAGCTACTGTTTTTATAGTCATTTTTCACATTGTAGTTACTACTCTAGTGTCTCTGGTTTTTCATTTTTAATTTGCTTTAGCAGTTTAAATAGTTTACATATTTTAAATAATTGTAAAGCGCTTAGAGCTGTAAGTGTAAGGTAAGCGCTATACAAAAATGCCTAAATAATAATAATAATATACTTTGAGTAAAAATGCAGGCAAACTGTGCACGCACAAGTTATATTAAAGTCTGCCATATACTTTATAAAGACATAGATGAAAATTAAATTGTTTTTAAATCAATTATTCATCAAATATTTTCTAAGGAGAGTACGCTTTTGTTGTGGGGATGAATAATTTTTTTGGGGTGACTATTTGTAAATATTTACCAACATTTACATTTTACACACATGATGTATTTAAATGTGAAACTTGATTTGTGTTGAAAATTTAAAAAATTACATGAGAGCAAATGAAAAAACACAATAATCATGATAATGTAAATCAAATGTTTTCTTTTTACTCTAAATATGTAATACATCTATATTGTCAGTCAGAATTTATTTCAGAAGTGTATGTGTAAAAATGTTATATACATGTCAATGGCCGCATGGAGAAATGCTCATTTCAAGTTCACCAGAACCAAAAAAAATTTGCTAAAGAAAATATAGTGCAGTATAACTTTGCATGGAAATGTCGGCACTCAAAAATTCACTTCTCTAGTACATTGAGGGTTTCCCTCTGTTAACTTGGACTACCTTCCTAGTACGTTGAGGGTTTCCCTCTGTTAGCTTGGACTACCTCCTAGTACGTTGAGGGTTTCCCTCTGTTAGCTTGGACTACCTTCCTAGTACATTGAGGGTTTCCCTCTGTTAGCTTAGACTACCTTCCTAGTAAGTTGAGGGTTTCCCTCTGTTAGCTTGGACTACCTTCCTAGTACGTTGAGGGTTTCCCTCTGTTAGCTTGGACTACCTTCCTAGTATGTTGAGGGTTTCCCTCTGTTCCCTCTGTTAGCTTGGACTACCTTCCTAGTACGTAGAGGGTTTCCCTCTGTTAGCTAGGACTACCTTCCTAGTATGTTGATCGTTTCGCTCTGTTAGCTAGATAGATAAAGAAAAAAGTCCACAATTAAAATGTGGATGTGAAGTTAGACAACAAAAGAAAACAAACATTAAAGTGAAAATTACCTTTTTAATTTGTTCAACTAAAAAATAACAATTAATGATTTTTTTTTTTCAGTGCGCAGAATATTATCCCTGCAACAAAAGGAACTGCACTAACAAACAGTTACAGATAAGTTACTAAAGTCATTTTAATAAATTTTGATTTATTCCAGAGGAAAGATTGCTGTTTTTACAGTTTTATGTGAGAAATACCAAGTATCTATAAACAGAGATCCCAACTACAAAGAGGTAAAGATTTGTCTGAGCTTTATGAAAATGTCTTTTTGTGCTGGTTCTCTTAATTAAGAGATGAATTTTTTATTACAGTTGTAAAAAATTGTAAAGAAATGACTTTGCGCTAACATTAAAAACCCAATCCTACTGCATCTTGTAGTTAAGGGTTAGTGAAGGCGGGCGGGGCTTTCTCAGGAGTGGAATGTCCCCAACGTGCCGCTTCATGGCCTGACTGAAATTAGGATAGTGGGGTTGGGGAAGACTTAATGAGCTCTGGCTCGATTAGTTTGTTGATTTACTTAAGAGAGGTGGCTAGTGAAGGGTTATCATTTTCATTAATAATTGTGGCAAGATGGGGCAATTCAAATTGTGAAGAGATGCTTGTTTATAAAAAATTTTACCCTAATATTAATTTAAAAAAAGTGTTACCTTAATGCAGGCCTGCACAACATATGGCCCGCGGGCCACATGCAGCCTGCCAGCACCCACTTTGTGGCCCGCGAAATATCCAAATAATCTTTATTCCTATTATCAGACCTGTTTACCCTCAAACTCTTAAAATCGTACAATATCATCACATAATCGTTCAATACATTCTCTTTAAAGAAAAAATTAACGTGCAGTATACATAATTTATACACCTCAAAATCGTACATTGTACGCCAAAATCGTAAGAGTAAACAGGTCTGTATTATTTTCTCAATAGCTTTCCCCCTGACCTATTTTCTTTTGGCCTGCACAAGTCCTGTTTTATTTTCTTTTGGCCCGCACACGTTTTTCATAAAGTATTACGGCCCGCCTTACATTTTGAGCTGTGCAGGCCTGCCCTAATGTATTATCTGAATGCACCTAATGTTACATTTATTAAATAAGTTGGGGGAAAAAAATTGAAAGCAGAAAAGCTATGTAAGTCCTTTACCAAAACATTGTTTTCTTTCATAATTGCTTGCATTGTAATCTATAACTTAGTGACCCCCATTAAGGCTTTGTACTACAAGCAATCTGGTGTCCTTGGTTATTCGCTATGTTAAAATTTCAATGAATAAAGACCTACCTGTAGTTAGTTTCTATTTTTTTCTCCCTCAGTACCTTGACCAAATTGGCCAGTTATTTTTTGGTGTGCCTCCACCTCAAAGAACTCCCCAGGGTATATTTGGTAAGTTAAACTACATACAAATAAAACCGCAAAAATTGATGTGCTTTTCAAATTTGATAGATTTTAATATTAATATTCAACTGTGTTATTTTTATTTCTTTATTTAAATTTGCATTAACAGGGAGCTTACTGCAGAATGTCCTCGGAGGGACCGGGGAAGACGACGAGGATGTGGGAACCAGCAGTAAAGTCGGAGTGGCGGGCAGTTCTCATCCCAACAGTGGTGATGCCAAAGGTCTAGGCTCATTTAGTTCTCTGTTCAGCAGCGGCAGCAGCAATTCGGCAGATACACCTACAACATCAAGACCATCTAAATTAGAAAAAACTTTGGACCTGGACTAAAGAATTGTGGAAATAGCCGGAGAGAGATTTTGAGAAAATAACTTTGCAAAATTTTTTGGTAACCGAGAACAATTCCCTGGGATCAGCTATTCAATTTTCAATTGTTACTGACTACACTTAGCTAGTAAGGTTAAGGCATAAAAAAGTCTGTTGTGGCTGCACTCAGCCAGTAAGGTGATGGCAGAAAAAGTCTGTTGTTTTTGGAACATTATTTATTTGTTATGCACAGTAATAAAATAAAATTACAATAATAATTTTTTTAATAAAATATTCCAAACTTCTACCTTGGCACCACCCCCTTCCCCAACCCCAGTAGTATAAAAAGAGGTGATAATGGTCTTCCATCTCCTAGACTTGCAAGGTATGTGTTGTTTGGATATGAGATTATATTAAGATTTTAGTGAATGTTATTGTGCGACCGTAATCTGGCATAGTAATTTTTTTTTAAAATGTGAATTTTTGAATTAAATTCTTAGTACTTTTATTTAATCAAATTTACTTTAAGTAGGAGTTTCACTCAAAAACAAGTTGCTACTCAGTATTTGTTTTATTTTTGTTCTTCACATTACAGATAATTCTCTGTTGATCCAACTTCTCAAATCAGATATTTATATTGATATGGAAAATAACTTTTTTAAAATGTCAACGTTTATGATTACTAATTTAATATTTCTTTTTTTTTTTTTTTTTTTTTAAATGTGTTGTTTGCAATGTGGAGAGACTGCTCACTGATTTGAAGAATTTGTTCAAGGGGGAATTCTGATGGTGATGTGTTTTGCTTTAAATGATGATGATGCCATTTTTGTCATTTTGAGCTGTGTATTTCCACCCATCAGGGAGACAACTTTTAAAGCTCACGAGTATGAGCTTTTAAGATTTCATCAACCAATCAAAATAACAGGGCTTCTCTGTTGATGTTGTGGAATTGTTCACACCATTTCACTGTAACAGTTAGCCCTAGAGTAACAGAGGTGATTTCTTCTCACCAATTTGTGACTGTCCTGGAGTAACTGGCGATTTCTTCTGACCACTTTGTGACAGTCCTAGTTAGCCCTAGAGTAACAGTGGTAATTTCTTTTGCCCATTCTGTGGCGTGCACGTTGAAAGAGCAAGCTGTTGTGAGTGAGGTTGAATTGATTTTATCACAACCCTGTGACTGACCTCACGTGGACAGTAATTAATAAATTGATGAACGATACTTGTTTATTTGTACATGGAGGGATTCATTAGCTTTATTTACTAGAAGCTGCTCTTTATCATTTTCTTCAAACATTAACTTTCTTCTAACAAAAACATTTTGGTGTGGTTTACATTTCAACCGCATTCCATGTGTTGGTAATCTTTCATTTTCATATATATTTGTGCTGATTATAACACCTGAGTTAAAAAATAAATCTGTTTTGTGCTCGGTGGATCCGTGTGATTCAAAGATAGTCGAGGAGAAATTGTCATGTGATTCAAAGATAGGCGCGGAGAAATTGTCGGATTAAATATTTATGCATATGTCTTTATAGGAATAAATCTTTCTTCCATGCTTTAAATAATTTCATTTCTATTTGTAATAACTTTCCTTTGCATAAAATTTTAATACAAGGCATATACATTTAAAAAACTATATTCATTGTAATTCATAGCAAAGGTTGGATAATGTAAATGGTTCTGTATTATAGCTGTATTTAAATTTCAACAGAATGAGCTTTTGACATAATTATTCTGATTTGTCAGTTCAAGCTGAGCTTATTTTCAAATTTAGGTATGCAACTTGAATATTTATTTTTTAAAAGATATGTTAAGTATCTATAATTTCACATTCTAAGAGGCATTCGATAACTAATAATTGTAATTATTATAAACCTTGTCTTAATTTGTTTTGATATTTCATATAGGCACCATACTAAATTAACTTTTTCAACTGGGAGAAATTTCCTAGACTTAAAATGAAATTTATATCAATAGTGTTTTTTTGTGTGTTCAATACCCACATTATTTTGCTCTGTTAAATTAAAACAGCTTGCTTGGTAAATTTTGAAAGGGATTTTTGTTTAAAAAAGCTTACTTTGCCATTTATTTTGTGATCACTTCTGTTTTCTTTTCAACTATGTTGAAGTCTTTCTCATTAACGGGTATAAGGCAGAGGTATAAGAAGCTTTTGGATGATTTAGGGAAGCTCTTTAGCTATTATGAATTTAAGTTTGAATGACACATCTCTGACATTTATGTGTTTGCACAGGGTGAAATTAAAGAATGTATGCATGAAATGACACCACTGGAGAGTCACTTCATTATTCATGGTCTCGTAGGGGTTATTTGTGAGATGCTAAGGTTTGTATGAAAGGACATTTGTATGGTACCATATTATGCATGGACTTATTTAAACTAGTGGATATTTGTTAAATGCTTATGTTTGTAAGAAATTAAAATTGTATTGTCACTACATTTATCTGTGGACTTGAAAAGATGCACAGTGAATGAATTGCAGTGAATTGTGTGGCTTAAAAAAAAAATGAGAATTCCTGTGCTGATATTAATGGTCATCTAAGAAATCTTGTCTGTGATTGCTTGTGGCAGACTGTGCTAATATATGACATGCTCCTACATGTGACATGTCTGTTGTGTCACAAACTGCTGGTACTGCTGGTTTCTTCATCTCAGGACAGAATCTTACTTTTAACAGTAGAGCAGGGGTTCTAAACCATGGATACCTAGGGGTACCAGATGAGTCAGAAAATGAAGTTTTATTGCATTTTTATTAGCATTTTTTACCTTGGTAGGGTGGGGACAACATGTTTTGAAATCGAAATAGGGGTGCAGAAATGTTTTGAAATCAAGAGTGGGGGTGCTTAACTGGAAAAAAAATTAAGAACCCCTGCAGTAGAGCAATTAATTCACATTCCCAAGCACATATTGTTCTAGTTTTAATTTATCTCTTTAAAAAGGGAAATGGAACGACCATGAACTATCACCAGGTGTCATGTATCTATATTGCTTGTCAAGTCACATTAGCTACACATATCACAACACATTCTTCACCTAATTATTTTCATTTAAAGAAGAAAAAAAAAAAAAAAAAGAAATTTTAATTTATTGTGTCTCAATAACCACATTGGACTATTTTGCGTATGTGCGCATTTTGAGTGTGTGTACACATGTTCACAACACATTCTTCACCTAATTATTTTCATTTAAAGAAGAAAAAAAAAAAAAAAGAAATTTTAATTTATTGTGTCTCAATAACCACATTGGACTATTTTGCGTATGTGCGCATTTTGAGTGTGTGTACACATGTGTGATGAGACTAGTTTAGAAGGAAAGCTTGACGTCAAGTTTTAGTGGCCCCATGAGACTGGTTTAGAAGGAAAGCTTGACGTCAAGTTTTAGTGGCCCCATGAGACTGGTTTAGAAGGAAAGCTTGACGTCAAGTTTAAGTGGCCCCATGTTTTTTAAAGGGCCAAGCAATACTATTAATAATAAGCTGTATGTTATGTATGTGTGCCAAGGAAAGGTTACAGGGCAGCAGTACCTGACTCAGCTATGCAGTCCACTATTTTATAATATCTAGAAGTTTAAACTGATGAAAGGAAAAAAAACAAAAACTGAAAATTTCAGTTTTCATACAGATTCAACTTGAATGCACATTAATACATAGATTTCATAATGAGCTATGGCTTATTCACTTTAAAAACAAAAAGAAACAGAAACTATGCTTGTAATTTTGAGTTGTTATGAAAACCAATGATTGTATTGTAAGACTGTTCCTTTTCATGTGTTTAAATAAACTTATGATTATTTAATGTCTATTGTTTTGGTTGCTTGGATGACAGGTGTCCACCCTTGGGAATCAGTGACCCCCCAGGTTGGTGGGTTTAAAAGTCTTGTGTACAGATTCCCTAATGTAACATTCTTTCTTTGATGATCACATCACTGTGAGGTTGTCTGTGTGACATGTTGCTCCATCCAAACTCTATGATAGCAATTCTTTATTTGATGACCACTCTGAGGTTGTCTGTGTGAAATCTTTCTTGCTCCACCCAAGCTTTATGATAAACATCATTTGTTTGATGATATCACTGACTTAGTCTGGATGGTTAACTGTGTCAAATCTGGTTAGTTGCTCTGTGACATGCTGCTAATGGAGATATTCCCTAATATGCTCGTTTCTGCCCCATCACTTTTTACAATGTGTTTATCTTTCTTATTCAGTTATCATTGGTTGACACAATACGTGGATGGGTTTAAAAAGTAATATTTATAATGATGCATAGATGAAATGTGCATAAGATTTGGTCTGCTTGTTCGTTTTTGTCAGTATATTTTAAAGACCAATAGTTTGCTTGTCACAGAATAAATGGACAAATGTCTTAACTGATTGTCACAGAATAAATATACAGATGTCTTAACTGCTTGTCACAGAATAAATGTACAGATGTCTTAACTGCTTGTCGTGTCACAGAATAAATATACAGATGTCTTAACTGCTTGTCACAGAATAAATGTAGGATGTCTTAACTGCTTGTCACAGAATAAATAGACAGATGTCTTAACTGCTTGTCGTGTCACAGAATAAATGGACATATGTCTTCAAACCATTAAAATGGCTTGTTTTTCTGATGTTTAAAGTGGAGTAGCTTCCCTGTCTTATATCCATGTCACACAAATAGTTGTTATCCAGTAATTCAGTGGTACAAGTAATGATGTAATGCCAAGGTATAAACTAATTTCCAACTTACATCCACATTATACCAGTGGTTGTAATCCAGTCAGTGAGTGGTACAACTGATGCTAAGTTGTACAATAGTTTCCATATCTAATATTTTTATAATACCAATAGTTGTTATCCAGTGAGTCGGTGGTAGAAGTAATGCCGGTGCACCATTGTTTCCCTGTCTGATTTCCATATAAATTATAATACCAATAGTAGTTATCCAGAGGTACAACTGGCACCAAGTTAAACACTAGTTTCCACGTCCTGTATCCACATCATACCAATGGTTGTGAATATAGCGATCCAGTGGTACAATAGTTTCCCTCTCTTATATCCAGGTAATACTAAACAGTTTTTATCCATTGATTTGGTGGTACAATTGTTAGTGATGTGAAACTGTACATGTCCTGTACTGTTGTTATGAAAGGACGATTATACCAAGGGTTCTAATACAGTGAGTCAGCGGTACACTTGTTACTGATGCCAAACTCTTCATGTCCTGTAGTGTTGTTATGAAGGGACGATTATACCAAGGGTTCTAATACAGTGAGCCAGGGGTACAATTGTTACTGATGCCAAACTGTACTGTTGTTATGAAAGGACGATTATACTTATACCAAGGGTTCTAATACAGTGAGTCAGCGGTACAATTGTTACTGACGCCAATCTGTGCATGTCACTGTAGTGTTGCTATGAAAGGACGATGTCAGAAATTCAAATGACTCATAATGATTCAAAGAAATCATCATATTATTAATTATTGTAATAAAAAAACAAAACAAAAAACTCCTATGTTGATCCATCGAATTGCCTGGGCACGGAAGAAAAAGAAATAAGATTTCTTGACAAAGCTGCTTGTATTCTATTGGATGCCCCCAGTAATCTATTGGATTAACAGAGTATAGAACTGACTAATAAAATACAAGATGGGCAGACATCACAGTTGCACACCAAGTGCGCAATCGCAATGTTGAACTGAAAGCACCAGTGAGTAGATTTTAGTGTGTGAGTTCCAGACCATCTGAACTCAGCTGCACTATCTCTGTGTTTTACCTTTATGAAAACTTGACACAGAAAACCTATATTTAAAAATTAGGCACTTAAGGTTTACAAACCTGTCACAATGAAGTAAGTATAAATGTTCAATAGGTCTGTTCCAGGATTTCTGTTAGGGGGAGAAAAAAAAGAATTTAAAAACAACAACCCTGCTATTCTAAAATCATAACAAAACAGATTGAACTCGAATAAATTAGTTCTTGTTTTTAAGGACAGATCCATCTTTAACCCCCCCCCCCCCCCCCACACACACACAAAACAAACAAACTTTTACATCGGCGGACATTCAACCAGTCTTTCTTTCAGTCAAATTTTTTCCGGCGTTGGCACATCTGATCTTCGGGTGGGCAGTACCAGTGGCATTAAGGTGGGTGGTGAGAGGGTGGTCCAACCTGGTTGGTACATATTTTTTATTGGGTTGGGGACTATATTTTCGGTCAGCTGCTGAGTTTTTATAGTGGAAGGGGTGGCAACCATCTTTGCGGCCATTACCGTAACTACCCCTCTTGACGGTGCATCTATCAGCGCCAAATTTAGGCTTAATGGTGAACAGGACGAACTATGGTGACAGTCACCAGTAAGCATTTGAACTTTCCAAGATAGCTGCAGTGAGGGGGCTCATTAGGAGGGATTGCCTTCAAATCTAATGTTTTGGGATGAAAAGGCTTCAAAGAGTGCTCCTTTCATCAAAGAATACTTTCTTCACCAAAGAGTGCTCCCTTCATCAAAGAATATTTCCTTCTTCAAAGAATACCCCCTTCATCAAAGAATACTCTCTTCACCAAAGAGTGCTTCCTTCACCAAAGAGTGCTTCCTTCATCAAAGAATACTTCCTTCATCAAAGAATTCTTCCTTCATCAAAGAATAGTCATTTCACCAAAGAGTGCTCCCTTCAACAAAGAGCACTCCCTTCATCAAAGTATTCTCTCTTCACTAAAGAGTGCTCCCTTCACCATTGAGTGCTTCCTTCATCAAAGAGGGCTCCCTTCATCAAATAATACTCCCTTCATCAAATAGTACTCCCTTCATCAAATAGTACTCCCTTCATCAAATAATACTCCCTTCATCAAATAGTACTCCCTTCATCAAATAGTACTCCCTTCATCAAATAGTACTCCCTTCATCAAAGAATACTCTCTTTATCAAAGAGTATGCAGTTTTTGTCATGGACTGAGTGCACCCAACTCACCCCACCACCCATCTGTAATCATGGATCATAATAAGAATTTAAAGAAAATGTTTCCCACTGATGTCTAAGCTTAAGTACTTATCTTAGAAGCCTGGTGTTTTTACTTAACTTTTTTCTGATAAACGCTGTTATGTGACCACTGGTACTAACGGTTGTATAACCCTGGGTTCGTGTGTCCAGGTCTCTTGTGATAAACGCTGTTATCTGACCACTGGTACTAATGGTTGCATAACTCCAGGGTCGTGTGTCCAAGTCTGGGGCCCGTGGAGTTTGAGCCAAATGTCAACAGTTATCATCTGACGGGCATCAGCAATAATGACAATCTGTGCCACTACACCGGAGTTGAACCCAGGACTCCCACATACTCCTACCCACAGTACGATGAGGAGATGGTGTGCCCACCGAACAGATTTGTTGAGTAAGTCCACAGCATAGCGTGTTTGTTTGTACCGGTATTTTTGTGTGATGTGCCTCATTGGCACGGCTGCCGACTCACTCAAATAAAATGTTTGGACAAGTATTCTAAATCTCCACAATTATAATGGAAAAGTGATATTTTTTAAGGACAATGGGGTCGTCCATTAATTATGTCAACAAAATATGTGGGAGGGGTTTTGGAAATGTTTGACAAGTGTTGACAAGGGGGAAAGGAGGGGATTCATTAGTTGACGCAACAATCATTTTTTTCTCTATGAAATTGACTGGTTATTACATTATTTTAACAAATTTAATGAGTGTAAATTAATATAGTTATATATTTTTTAGTTATATAAAGTTTTAAATTGTTGATTAACAAGCTAAAGATGCAATAAAAAGTTTTTCCTACACCTTTGTGTGTTATTAAAATAGACCAGCACAAAGTAAAATGTATTTATGTATTTATTTATATTATAATTCATTTTTTTTGTTGAGGGGTGTATAGAAATGTTAACATAATGACTGAGGGGGGGTCATTGAAAGTTTGACCGTTGTTGACAAGGGAGGTGGGCCAAAAATTGCTTCAAAATCGATGATGTAATAAATGGACGCCCCCATGTGTTTAAAATTAACTTGATAAAACTGAGGTTTAGAAAAGACAAATATCAATAAGACTGTGTTTATATGAATTTACAAATTATATCAATAGACCACCAGACAAGGCCGTTGCAATGCATGAACTTCCCAGCTACTGAAAATACTTGAAGAAACATGCATTCAAGTAATGTGCTTTATAAGATTCCCAATAAGTGCTACCACGCTCCCGGTACGCCAGCCCCCTTGAACTATATTAATAGTCTAATGACCCACCCCTTTTTAACATTGCAGATTTATGACACCAACTATTTCCTTAAAACAAAAGAAAATATTACGCACTTGAGGTATTTTAAAGAATCTCATTTGGTGCAGTTATCTGGAATTTTATTTAGTGGCATCAGCGCCATCTGGTAGCGTTTAGTGTCATTGTTACATAGAGAATTATGTACAGCGCCCTCTGATAGCGTTAGTGGCATTGTTACATAGATAATTATGTATTTTGGAATAGCCTAATTTATAACATTATTTAAAATAATATTTTATTGTGTGGCATTCTGATGAGTGGTGAACTTCTGATTATGATCATACACTTTTTAAGCAAATGCAAGAAATGATATACCGGTATGTGTGTATATATATATGCATATATACATACATATATATATATATATATTATAAAAATATATATATAAACTTTGAGATTTCCAGTTTCGTTTCCCTTCAAAAGTGTAGGCCTCCACGCTCTTAATTTGTTTAAAATTTACCGGGCATCTTAAAGTTCTTATGGGCTTTAAGGACAGGTGAATTTAGCTCAAATTTTCTGTAACTTTACGTAGTGTTGGCGACCATGCTTACTGGTCACGCTTTGGTGATGTGTTAGTCAATGTTAAATATTATTGATGAGCCTTTAACAAAAAAAAGAAATTGCTCTTCTTAAATGTCTGCAACACATAGGCCTAAATGTGACAGTGAGTTGTCTTTTCCTACCACAGACCACTCAAACTGCCTGGAGAAATACAACGTTTCAATCAAGAATTTGAAAAGCGCAGACGAACAGTAAGTTCACGAAGCAAACTATTGGTTACCATTGTGTATTGTATATAACACTTTATGGGTTCTTTTTGTAAGAAGTGTCACAGACATAATATTTTTTAAGTCCTCGTTTTAAAGCCATTTTAATTGTTTCTATAGTATAGTAGTTACTATCCTAATGTCTCATTTTTATTTTAGTTAGTTTACATGTTTTTAATAATTGTAAAGCGCTTAGAGCTTTAAGGTAAGCGCTATATAAAAATGCCTAAATAAATAAATAAATAAATATATATATAATTCCTCAGATCACATGTCACTAAAGCTTCATTGGTTACATTTTCCCTCCAAACACAATATTTACCTTTGAGTCAGGACCGTCTTTACAGCAGTGGCGGTCCTGGGCACAGTAATTTGTAATGCACTGTGACACCTGTCCCTCTAAAAGAAAAATTATAATTTTGTCCTTTCAAAAAAATACCTGTAATAACATCAAAAGCTTTTTAAAAGATTAAAATGTGTCGGTACTGTCACTTAGGTTGGAGAGTAAGAAGAGATCCAGGGCGGCGAACGAAACTGGGGGGTAAGGTTTAGAGAGAAGTCTCAGTAAGACCCTCCCTAGAAAAATTTTGATGAATTCAAAATAATTTACTACGTGAATTTAGTTTTAGATCATTCTACACTTAATTGATGTGAGAATCGAGAAACGTATTTAAATAAACTTTAGAACGGTCTTCCCACTTTCATTCTGAACGCAAAATAAATTGCCAAAAAAGATTCAATATTCACTAATAATATTGGTAGCGTATGTCCCTCGAAGCGTGAGGGCGAGGGCCCCAAGAGGCAAGAGGCCCTGGGCAATGCCCCATTGAGCACAAGCCTATTAAGACGGCACTGCTTCCACCAATTTCACTTCTGAGCAGTGGCGAAGCTATAATAGGTTTAGTCTCGCCCGGGGCTAACATCTTAGTCTAAAATGATTGTAAACAAAAATTCTTACCGATACTTATTTTTTTTTCCCCATTCATATCTGGCAGAAGTAAACTTGTTGATGAGAGTTATTTCCCTTTAAGAAGTACCCGGTAGCCAAATTGTGATTCGCAATTATAATATTAATAAAATTTGGAAACGTGCTGTCCCTTGCATTTCAAATTAAATTAAATTGTTAAAATCTTTGAATATTCATTAACAATAGGTGAAGCATGATGTTTCTAAAAGAGTGAATCTCATTGAAGTGTGAGGCCCCGAGAAGTGTGAGGTCCTGGGCCAGCGCCCAGTGGGCCCATACCTCAAGATGGCACTGCTCTGAGTAGTTCAGAAGCTTATATTTTTGGGCCTAATTTTCATGTTTGTTTCTTCTATCCCAAATTAATTACTCGAGAACGTAGGACACTTTGTGTAGCTGTAAAAAAAAGGGAAGTGGGGAGGGGGAATCAGTTTCAAGTCTACACAAATAACCTATCAATGTATCGTTTCAAAGACAAAAATAATGGCCTTGTATTCTTCTTTCGTCCTGGGATGATAGACCGATTGAAATTGATCCCATTTTTGTTTGCCATTTTTAAAAAAGAAAAAAAGAACAAATTTCAAACTTTGTTTTGACGTTTGATGAACAGAAGCCACCCTCTTGGGTTGTATCCGGATAACTATCTATGAACAGAAGCCACCCATTTGGGTTGTATCCTGATAAGTATCTATGAACAGAAGCCACCCATTTGGGTGTATCCTGATAACTATCTATGAACAGAAGCCACCCACTTGGGTTATATCCTGAAAGACCAATACTCGCCAGAAAGGTTCTGGTGTCATTGCATAATACTAAGTTCTTGTCTTTGGTTTAAAAAAAAAAATTAAATAAATGACAGCCAATTTTGCATACTATTATCAGTAACCCATGAGCTACTTTAATCTCCAAGCTTGGCACTAAAAGTACCCCATATATGTATGTTCTTTATATGTTCAACAGTACAGATGGAATACATGTTAAAAATATTATTAGTATTATGTAGTCTAAGAATGTTATGATTTGACAGCTAAATATTTGTACATGCTTTGTTAAGAAAGCAGGAAAATAGATTGTGTCCTTTGAATTGAACATGTTCATGACAGTGCATATTAAAAACGAGAAGTCGAAAAATGTCTTTATATTAACACACAGCATGTCGCTATTTTAAAACGGGGACGTCATTTGGGTAGGGCGGGAGGAGGGGATTTGTGCCCCCCCCCCACTGAAGTTTAAGGTTTTATTTAAATTGATATGTCCTGGGGCGCCTCCAATAATAAACAACTCAACAAGCTGGCCAAGTTTTGGTTTTGCCCCCCCCCAACTTTATTCCCTGAAAAAAACCTGACATGATTGCCCTGTTTTTAACACAACATTTTCCCATTTAAATAACAAGGGTTCTTGTGATACCCCGAATCAGCAAAGAGAAATTACATAGAGCGAAATACATTTGTATAAACTCAACGATGTCTCAAAAACAAGTACGTTTACTATAAAATCGACGCCATTTTTGGAATCAGCGCCCCAAACAACACTTGGAACAGACCTAAAGCTTAAGCCAGACACCATTTTTGGAATCAGCGCCCCAAACAACTCTTGGAACAGACCTAAAGCTCAAGCCAGACACCATTTTTGGAATCGCGCCTCAAACAACACTTGGAACAGACCTAAAGCTCAAGCTAGACGCCATTTTTGGAATCAGCGCCCCAAACAACACTTGGAACAGACCTAAAGCTCAAGTCAGCAACAACAACAAAGTTTGTGTCGCAAAAAAAAAGCGCAAATTATTATATTTTATTCTGCCAAACTTGTTTCAACTGCCAATGCCAAATGCCAGTGTCAACGGTCAATCTCAACTGCCAATGCCAACATTTCCCCAGATATTTTGCTGCCAGCCACACCTCCCCCCGGCTTACCGCTCAGTGTTTCCCGTCCCGCCCGCCGAGTACTGGACCCACGTAGACCCCTGTAACCCCTGGAGCTTTTTTGACAGGTGCGTGCCATCACTTCTTTACTGTTACGGTCTAGTCACTCAGGTGCGTGCCATCACTTCTTTACTGTTACGGTCTAGTCACTCAGGTGCGTGCCATTACTTCTTTACTGTTACGGTCTAGTCACTTTTATATTTCTTCTCTACCCAAACAGTTACTGGCTACTTTTAGTCCAACGATCTGTGTAGGTGCTACTTTGTTACATGTAACAATCCATTGCTTTCTACTTCTCTACTCGGACCTTTACTGGCTACTTTAAGCCTAACAATCTTTCTAGTACCTACTTAGCTACATGAAACCCACGACTTTCTACTTCTCTACTCGGACCGTTACTGGCTACTTTAAGCCTAACAATCTTTCTAGTACCTACTTAGCTACATGAAACCCACGACTTTCTACTTCTCTACTCGGACCGTTACTGGCTACTTTAAGCCTAACAATCTTTCCAGTACCTACTTAGCTACATGAAACCCATGACTTTCTACTTCTCTACTCGGACCGTTACTGGCTACTTTAAGCCTAACAATTTTTCTAGTACTTACTTAGCTACATGAAACCCACGACTTTCTACTTCTCTACTGTTTCCCTATAATGCACTGCCCCAAACTTGTCTGTAATCTTTATCTCACTTCTTGATAGTAGGGTCCCCTAAGTAGACAATTGGTGTTTTGGGTGTTTTGGGCGTACTTGACTTCTACGCAGTGGCGTCGCTAGGGCTAGTGCCACAGGAGGCGGGGTGAAGACTTCTTGCCGCCCCACGCCCACAAATAAAAACAACAAACGATGCAGTTAGCCTAAGATGCCACCGCTCCATACAAAGAAAAAGAGTGCCGCACCACCCCCCCCCCCTTTTTTTTCCCTACGCCCCTGCTTCTACAATGATCCCGTTTAAAAAAACCCCCACAAAAACACAACAGCCATAAACTTGTTCCTTTTCTCAGATCAGCATGTTGCAATAAACCACGCCCTTACAACTGGGTGAATGACAGCTGTCCAACCCCTTATTGTAGACCCGGGGGTAAGGCGACTCCCCCCTATGTGATTCCGTATCCAAATCTGGGACTCTACTTCCCGCCTTGTGACTTCTTCCGGGTCAAGTGTTAATAACTTGGTGAGTCAAGTTTAGTCAAGTTTTAGCGGTACTATTCTTATGTATTCATTGCAATTATTTTTTTACTACCATAATTCTGTAAGCTGGTCGTAACACAATGGTAATTTTATTGATTGAAAGTGGCTGTGTGTAAGCGACAGAGTTTCTTTTGAGTTTGTACAACAACGCTTTATTGAATTATAGTTACTATCATAAATGACATAAATGTAAGCATATACATATAAAAGGTGTAAACAAAGAGAACACGGGGTAACGCTTTTTAATCAGACAGAATAATACAGCAAACGTGTCGACATAACGCCTTCGCCAGCGGATAAGCACAAAGATACACAATATGCATCACATTTAGAACAATGCAAAACGGAAGTAGATTACAGTGACATCATAAACGGATGGACTGGCAACTCACGGCATATGCTTAGATGACATGCGCGACATATGCTGTGCTGGCACACTTCCGGATTCTAAAATAGCGCGTTGATCGGAGATCATTCTGTTCGATAAGTTAACAAAACTGCTTGTTGGCAAACCAAACTCTAGCTGTCCAGACTATGAACCAACACCACAACCATGTCAGTTAGGCTCGTTACCTTGTCCTTAAAAACAGGAGCGTCCTTAAGGTCAACTCTGTCACCAATCAGATTTTCAACAACAACAAAAAAGAAAACTCCTCTTTTTGTTTCTTTCCAAAGGAACAAGATCTTAAGGAATCAGAGTTTCGCCTCGGGACCTTGATTCAGAGTCCAGGTCTGACACTAGTAAGAAAGAATTGAAAACAAAAAACAGGAAATCTTTTAAATGAGCCTGGCTTTGGTCTCCATTTGTATCCTCGGGGAGTTTTAGACTGGGACATCGGGACACAGGGGGAAAAAATCTACTTAATCCAATGAATACATCAAAATTTCGCGCCTCTTTTCAGATTGGTGCAGAACGGTTCAGAACGGCCATTGAACACACGAGGCTAGACATCACCATTAGGCCGCAGTTAAGAGGTGCAAAGTATATCCTCAAAAAGGTTAAGACTACTTTGCACCTTTTACCATTGCAAAATCTTCATAGTTCAACATCTTCATAGTTCAACATCTTCATAGCTCAACATCTTCAGCTTGTGTTTAGACATCATTGTAAGTATAACATCATTTTCGTTTCATCAGAATTCTAATTTTAATCAATTTTGAAAACGATTCACAATACTTCGTCTGCTTTCTCTTTCCCAAATAAGTGTTGCTCAATGTATTGGTAACGCAGTGCGCTTTGCTTTTACGAAAAAACAATGGGGTGGCAACAGTAGCATTACTGGGGGGGGGGGGTTCGGGGGCCACAGAGGCGGAAGGAGGGGGGGGCAGGGGGGTGGGGGGGGGGAGGGGGGGGTTGGGGGGGGGGGGGGGGTTCGTGGACCACAGAGGCGTAGCGAGGGGAGGGCAGGGGGGACAGATGTCCCCGGGCGCCAGCTAGTTAGGGGCGCCAAAATGTGCTTTGATATTATTTTATTGATCGATATAATGGGCTTGAGAGTTGAAAAAAAGAAACAGGGGCGCTTTAAAATGGATCTTGTCCCCGGGCGCGAATCTTGTCCCCGGGCGCCAAACACCCTCGCTACGCCTCTGGTGGACCGCACCGGTTGACACCAACACTAGTGACGCCTCTGGGGTGGCTGGTTAATTTTCTTCCATTAAAATGAGCTAAACGTAAAAAAAAAAAAAATATGTTAGGAACCTGTAAATTGGAAAACTATTGTAAAAAGTACTTCGTCGACAGCTAAGAAATAATTATAGCTGTTTTTGTTTGTTCCCATCAGATGAGCATTGCCAGGGGCAGTCTGAAGCATTCTGTTTACATCGACAGGAATCTGTGAGTACTCTCTAGATGTCATTTGAATTGAACACTGAAAGCTCCTCCATGGCTTGTTTACAACGCACAGCTAATTATATATTACTAAGATGCACACCCCTGCACCACTCACCCCCACATCCCAACCGCCACCCACCCCCATCACCCCACCCGCCCGCCACCCCACCCCCATCACGCCACCCGCCTACCCCATTTCGCTACTATCTCAAACAAGCCCCCGCCCGTCTGCCTAAATGTAAATTATGTATTATAAGCAATGATAAATAAAGTTGATTCTAAAATCAATTTTAAATATACAAGTTTATATACCTTACGATTTTAATACCATAACATTTTAAAACTTTTTTAAAAAAACTTATTTTTTTAAAAAAATTAATAATATTTATTTTTCTACACTTAAATTTAATTATCAATGCATATATATAGTTCAATGGTTGACAGAGTCAAATTATAGAGAAAATTGCCGATAGACTT